AAAAAAAAGAAGAAGAATGTGGTGCTGGGCTAGGAGAAGGGGAATGAGGACTCCAGGGTGCAGAGCCAGGTCAGAAATTTGTGGAGATTTGTCCTAAACTCAGTGGGTTATAAGTGGAGAGAGTTGAACTCAAAGGGCAAGGTGTGTAAGGTGTGTGGAGCATGAATGGAGGTGAAGACTCAAGCTAGGTATAATCAGCTCAGGCAGGGAGGGTAAGGACCATCCCAACCCCTTTCCAAGCACTTTCTAAGCATTGGGTATGTTTGTTGGACAGTGACCCCTGTGAGTCAATATACATGTTTCCGTGCAGAGATGTGCTCACATGCTATATGAGGGCAAGCTGGGGGAGTGTGTCAGACTGTTGGGATGCATGACTGTGAACCCAAGTGTTAGCAGACAATTGTCCATAGATCTCTTGAATTTCTGCACATCTTGCAAAGTGAGGTGCTTACTGTACTTTTTTCTGGACTATCTTTTCAGGGATGTTGTATAATGAACAGTCTCGGTAAATACCATCAGTGTCTTGCTCCTGAGTGAAAAGTGGGCATGTTTCCAGCTTATTATAAACATAGGTATCCTAAGCTCAGACTTTTTCCCCTACAGGATAACTGAGGTATCACCTGATCTTTTGGACATCACCCTGTGGAAATTAGTGCTCGGAGATCTGGCACTAAAATTCTCATTACTGTTATTGCTGTGAATACTAAACTGTCCTTCATCTCTGACCCAGGAATCTCATGTCCTTTACCAGTGTCCTTTAAACCAAGTCAGGGAATTTGCTGGCTTGTGCATAGGGGAGAATCTCGGGCCATTCACAATTCTCAATAACGTGTTTCTAGATATTTGTGTTTCAGTGAATCTGGCTTTGACCTCTTTTGTTTGTATGTGTGAGGATTAGGGGTTTTGGTATCTGGGGAAAAGAGTGTTTCAGAGTTTATACATATTGGGAAAGCAGCCCTTGGATAGTCTGTGTCTATGCCAGAAAATGATGAGCTTGTATTTAACGTGGGAATGAACCAACTCTTCTCATTGAAAGACAGGGAGAAGAAATATGGAGAGCTAGATGTTTCTCCTCCAGCTGAGGTTTATGGGGACCCTGGGGTGTTCTATTGCATTTAGGAGCACTGAATTTGAATTGGAATGACTGTGACCATAGGGAGAGGCCCATAGAGGGGCTGATAAGGGGCTCTGCTTTGTAAGATAAGCCTTCTTCCCCATCCTGTCTTAAACTCATTGACTTCTACAACATTCCAACATCTATCAATGCTCAACTGATCCTAGAGCAATTCGGCCATACTCTGAGACATAACCCCTGGTTCCAGTCTTTATAACCTACTTTGGGTGTTTCTGTTCTAGGAGCTAAGCCTGAAAACCACTCCTCTGTGGTAACTGTTGTCCCTTTCCAGATAAGAGAATGGGATGGTGTAACAGAGGTCCACGTTATGCTTTGAATATAACCCTTGCTGCTCAGCCATTCAACTTATTTTTAAAATGGACATTCTTTCTCTTCCTCTCTCCCTGCTCCTCCCTCTCCTTAATCTCAGGGAAGACAAGATGACCTTTCTTTCCCCTCTTAGTGCAGAGTTATCTGTCTGAGCACACACCCACTATAGGAACAAAGTGATCCAGACTTTGGGGATGGTATCAGAAGACCTCAGAAATGACTATCTCCTAAATTAACAAGTAAATTACAACTCCAGAGAACTCGTGGAATGTAGCCTTTGAGTCACCCTCTGTTCCTGCTGATGGGCAGAATCACAGCCTTTGGGACAGGAGTCCCCTGTGTTTCTCCTTTGTTAGCAAAGCACTAAACCTTCTTTTTCCTTTTCCATTTTCTCAAAACTTTGTCCTCATTAATGAATTGGCATCAGGGACAAGGACCAAGGTTTCGGCAACAATGGGGGCATTTGTGAATTCACTATCTCATCGTGGGGTTACAGCAGGAACCGACACCCACCCTTGAGGGACACTGTACTGGCTGCTGTTCCCAGTGGTTTGCTGGTTGGGAAGAAGCCACACCTGAATAGCTCCTGCTCTAAGCATGTGCTCTCTGTGCCACTTGCTTTGCCTTTTCTGACTCTTCCAAGTGATGCCAGTGGGCGATGCCATTTCCCCATTTGAGAGGAGAGGGCTGAGAACCAGTGGAGTTTGGCCATTCAAAAGCAGAGTCCAGCAAGGCTTTGGGCCAAGGAGGTGGTGAGGAGAGATGAGACAGGACCTGAGAGGAGCACCCTGGTTGTCAGAGGTGGCTGGCAGTGCCACAGAGACAACCACAAAGGCACCGATGGCTGACTAGAGGAGTGCAAGCACAGGGAAAGGGGGACAGAGGAGGAGGGCGGTGAGCGTTTGAGAGGCTGCTGGCTGGAGTCCTGCTATGGTTTGGATGAGTGACCCCCAGAGGCCCCTGTTTTAAAGGCTTTGTCACTAGGGTGGCATTCTTGGGGATGGTGAGACTTTGAGGGAGGGGGGTATGGTCATTGGAGGTGTGCTTTTGAAGGGGATGTGAAATTGAGTCTTATCTCTTTGCTAAGACTCATGGTTCATGATGTAGCAACTTGTTCCACCATATGCTCCTGCCATGATGTGGCACTTCTGCCAGAGGACCAAAGAATGGAACTGCCTAATCTTGGTCTGGAACCTCCAGAACAATGAGCCAGTGTAAGCCTTTTTTCTTTATAAGTTAGTTGACTCGTGTATTTCATTATAGTAATATGAAGCTGACTAATGCAAGTCCAAAACCTGGCAGTAGATGGAGGCCCAAGAATACATTTAGGTCCCTATGTACCAACCCAAGGCTAGAAGCCAACTACTCCCATCCCATAGCCATACACTGCTCCCCCCACCCCCTGAAGTTTGTGGATGGGTCCATCCCAGCAGGCCAGCCCAAGATCAAGCTGAGAAAGTCTCCCAGGCAAACAATGGCCTCCTTGCCTCCTCTGGCCTCTCCCAACCCCTCTTATTAGCATTCAGGCAGCTCCCCACACCATTCATCCCAGGCCACAGAGGAGCTGAGATTTGATCTAGTCTGGCTGAGCCGCATTAAAATCAATTAAAAATGAGAGATAAGCCTCTTTTTTCCCATTGAAAAATTCACAGGAATAAGAGAAAGACACACAGCCCCATCAATCACCCACCCCTCTGCTTTCCTGGGCTGCTTTTTCCAGACAGCTGCTGGGGGAGCCAGCTGAGAGGAAAGGACTTCTTGCAACGGGGTTGTGGCCAGAAGCCCCCAGGCTGGATCCCAGCTGCCAACAGGATGTGCCTGCTGTCCTTGCTCTCCTGTGATCAGTCGACAGACAGCACAGGTGGTAGCAGGGAGCATCTAGAGGGAAGTCCAGGAACCTGTCCCTTGAGTTGTCTCCAAAGGCCTGATACCAGATCCCTTTCCCCTGCTGGACCCAGAAAATGTAGGCTTCAGGGAAACCACATATTTCAGGCTTATCTTTGCTTCCCATGAAAAGCTGGGCAGAATTAGATTCCCTTGCTCCTCCTTGGAGAACTTCTACTTCTGTACCGTGAAGCTGCATTTACTGATGTTTCCAAGCAAAATGTGCATGTGTGTGTGTGTGTGTGTGTGAGAGAGAGAGAGAGAGAGAGAGAGAGAGATATGCACTGGGACATGCACCCACACAGAGCTTGCACATTAAGTAGCTATTGAGTAAACACTAGTCAAATGAATGGGAAAATATGGCTAAAGTGCATGTGCCACTCCCTTGCCATCATCCACCAAGCAGGCAGCATTTGGTACAGTTTAGGTAGTTTTGATCTCAACCATTATCAATTTAACTTCTTTGTTTTTTTCAACCAGTGGACAAGTCTTTGGTAAATCTCTTACTGTGCTGAGAAAATGTTCATTCATATGGGGGCATATGAATAGCCCACCCCACCCCCCACCCCCGTCACACCCTGGATGGCACATTTCCTGGAGCAGGTGGGCTTGACCTATAACAGTGAGTGTCCTTGGCGAGGCAAGGCTGGAGGGAAAACACAGCATATCCTGATGGCCAGAGAAAGAAGCCTGACTGTGGATTGTGTGGGTCACTCCTCTTTATTCCTCAGATGGCCTGCCCACCCCCCAAATGATGATTTTATGCTCTTCCCTGAGTCAAGATGACCGTAGAGATGATGACAAAAAGTGTCTTGATCTGGGGTCACTGAGGTTTTATTGAGCATTCCCCCATGAAGACAATGATTGGATTAGATTTAGAATACAATTCTTCCTAGCAATTTATAGAAGGATATGGACTCAAATGTAAAATAATTTCAAGTAACTGGAGCACTTTGCAATTCATTCAGTTAGGAGTTAACCTGTAATATGAGTTGGGAAATTGCAATACAAAGGTTGAGGACTTGGTGTCACTCCCTCTGATCCAAGGATATCTGAGGGATCCAAGAACTGTGGGAGGCATTTTTTTTGTAGGGCGGGTGCATTCTCTGCTTTTCCTGGTGCAGGCCTATGAAGAGACTGCTGGTTGGAAAGACATAGTCAGCTGAAGGAGATGAAGCCCTCACTATTCAATATGGTGTGGTTCAAAGAAAATTATTAATTGGTTGAAGGACTAAGAGCTCAGGGCTGTGCCACACAGAATGTTCCCAATGTAAGACCAGTGATGAGAAGGACCTTGGGCTGGAGGTGTAGCTCAGTTGGTGGCAGAGTATGCATTTAGCATGAGTGAGGCCCTGGGTTCAATACCCATTGTGGGGGAGGGAGGTGGGTAGGCTTAATCACCAACCCTGACATAGGGGTTCTGAAAGCAATTTATTTTGTAACTTTGGAGCCCAGAGCATTTTGTTCATTGATTCATTCTGCAAATATTTAATGAATGCCTTCTTTCAAGGCCTTTGGAAAGGGAGATTTTAACAACCAGGGAAACAAGCAATCAGAACAAGAAACTGACCGATCAGAATGGACCCTGCCTGTCAACAACCAACACATCCTGATTTGCACAGGGGTGATCTCAGCCCTGGCACTGCAGCCTGGAGTGTGACCGACAGCTTACCTTCTAGTGGCCTTGTCAGCAGGGTGGGCAAGGGCTTTCCAGAAGAGATGATTCAAAGCCAAATCCTGCAGAAGCAAACAAAGAAAAGAAAGAAGCAGAGACTTTTGGCAACCCTGGGTTCAGGGTAGTCATTACATAGACACTGTCCTATAGCAAAAGAGCCTTTAGGACTCCAGAAACCTTCCAGTAGCTGGGTGAGGCTGGTGGGAGGTAGTGATTCTAGGAGGGTTCAGATCACAGAGGACGTGGCATGACTTGAGAATATTCCAGTTGACTGGGAGCTATCAAAAGATTTTTAATTGGGAGAGATTGGATTTAACTGTCTAGTATTTTGGACAAATCATATCTATATTCTAATTAAAAGATGGGTATTAAAGGTGAGTATTAAGTGGTCAGAAATTTCTCAAGGGAGAGCAAACAACCCAGAATTTAGAACAGGGGTCATGGAGCATGGGATGTCTAATATTTGCCTTAAGTGGGACATTTTTCTGTCTGGAAGCAAGGGTAATACTACGGACCTGTTACTACCCAAGCTAACAGCTTCATGAACACGACAGACAGGCATGTTAAGTAAGCACTTTCTGGCTGTCTGAGCCACCCATGCCATCCCAGGCTGGCACTTTTGGAAGGTGGTGGAACCTTTGAGGTGGGACCTATGGTTATTGAGGGTGTGTTTAAACAACAAGCTTTTATTGTCTCACAGTTTGTGTTGGTGAGGAATTTGGGCAGCTTAGCTGGATGCTTCTGGATCAAGCTGTCTCAGGAGTTTGCAGTGAAGATGTCAGCCAGGGCTGCAGTCAGCAAAGGCTTGACTGGGGCTAGAAGATCCACTTCCCGGATAGCCATGGGGTCCTCTCTTACAGCATGGCGCTGGCTCCCCCTGGAGAACTGATCCAAGAGAGAAGCCACGATGTCTCTTAAACCTAGTTTCAGACATTCCACATCCTTGTTCTGCAATGTTCTATTGATTACACAGACTACCCACCCCTCTTCAGCAGGGGAGGGGGCTGCATAAAGTACATGGATGCAAGAAGGCAGAGATTAGTGGGGCCATCTTGACGACTGGAATTCCCAACTGTTTGCACTCACTGTCAGGCATTCGGTGTTTTAATCAGTGCCTGCCACATTGTAGACACTCAAATACCAATTTCTGAATGGAAAAAAAAGGGGGGGGTCTAATTAGTTCATCTAGTTCAAACAGTAAGTGGGGATTCACAAAGTAAACCTGCCCTCTTTGCATTTCCAGCAAATTCTCAGGGATGTTAAGCCCAGCTCTTGATTTGCCCCTCTTGGCTCTAAAACCTGGGTATCCTAGGGTTAGGAAGATACTGTCAGGCCCCAGCCCTGGCTGAGGTGAGCATCCTGCCCTGGGCACGCACCCTCTCCTGCAGAAGCTCCCAGGCAGCTGCTCATTCCTCAGATATTTGTTCTGGAGGAGGGCAACTGGGAGAATTGGAAAGTGCTGGTTTCACCTTATTTGCTTGTTCCACATCAGCTGCCTTCCAATGAGGACGCAGAAGCTGCACAAACATTTCTGTCAAGTGCCTCTTTTTTTGTGGCTCTGCCAGATCCCAAATCTCCATCGCAAGGAGCAAGGGAAGCGGCTCTTCAATAATGCATGGAGCTATTAGCACCAGGCCCAGGACGACTTGCTCCCTCCCAGCAATCAAAGCTGCCGCCCAGGAGCCGAGAGGTTGATCAGATTTCATGGGCTCCTTATAACTGCTGCTCCTGGTATGAGATTAGAATGGGCTGTTTCATGTCCAGGGATGAAAGCAGCAAGGATTTGGGAGAAAATCCGGCTTCCCAGAGAAATCAAAACGTTTCTATTTCATTACAAGTGGATGCATGACACAGCTAATCGCTCCTGTGAGAGGCAGCGCTGCGGGACCAGCTGCTACCTCGACAGCTCTTCTCAGATGCTACATAACGTGCGTAGGATGCAGGACCGGGGAAGCCACTCCATTTCCTTATGTCTAGGGCATCTCTTGGACCATAGGTATCTGTCAATGAATCCCTGGGAGATTAGCCTCCATCCCACAGTACTAGCAAGGTGGGTGCAACCCCCTTGGAGGTAATGGGGTGACTGAAGCCGAGGACCACTGAGGAGCAGGAGGCTGCAGCCGGCAGCTGCCATAATATTAATAGCTCCTCATTACTGTGCACGATCATATGTCCAGCATTTTGCATACAGTATGCCACTAATCCTTGCAGCAACTGGCAGTGTATTATTAGATCTTGCTACAATGAAGAAAATGAAGAAACTGAGGATCAGAGGGCTTAAGAGATCTTCTCAAGGCCACCCAGTTAAGACACGCTGGAGCCAAGTGAAACCCTAGGGCTGTGTTTCTGCCCAGCACCAGCTGCTCCCTCAGGTCCTCCAGAAGCAAAGCCGAAGTCCATAGCAAAAGGAAGAGCCCCAGGAGGAGCAGGCCTTCCCCCATACGTGAGAAGTATGGGGCATTTAGCCAGCATCACCATGGGAACTGTCTGCTGGGATCTCAGAGGCTTCCCAGTCAGTTTCGGCCTTCATCCCAGCTAGTTTCTGTGTCTTCTCCAGGGAGCTTTGTCCTTTGACCCAGGGATCACATGAGCTGAGATTCTGATATATTCTGGTTACTGACTCTGAGCTCTTGGTGGGTGATTATCCTCTCTGGCCTTGCTTCCATTATCTGTGAATTAGAGAAAATGATACCCCCTTAGTGGCAAGGCAAAAGGGGAGATGCTCAGGCCATGTAGTTAAGTGGGACTCTCCAGATTGGAGACCACACCAAGTGCCTGCCTCAGCCTCCACGCCCATGCCTTCCTTCCTCTGCTGTCACATTGCCTGTTGTGCCTAAGTCCCCAGACTCTGAAGTTTGAGTCAAATCTGTTTCTTCTAAAAGACATTTTGCAAGTTGGCATTCCCAGTAGCCTTCCCTGGAGGGGACTGGGCTCCACCCAGCATTCCCAGCTTTGTGAGATGAGGTCCCATTTCACCAGCTCAGCCTGGAGCTACATGGGGCAGGCTCGACCTCCACCTCCTATCAGCCTCCCCAATCCCTGCCTGGGCATCCAGCCCAACACAAGCCCCAGCAGGGCTGCTGGTGACCTTGTAGACCTGGCTTCAGCATGTTGGGTCGGCTCTGGGGAAAGGACCATCAACTCTTTCAATCCCCCTGCCCCATGGACAAAAGGGATCTGCCTGCAGGCTGGGGAGTCAGAGGCAAGCACCCTCCCTGCCCAGGCTTGAACGTGTCTGTGCCCCTGACATCCCCAAAGCAAAGATGCCATCTGGGAGGGCTGCCCACCCACCCTCTGCCCGACTAGGCCTTCAAGGGGTGGACTGAGTCTAATTCATGTGCCTGTCACTTCTGCACAGGGAGATGCTCTGAGTTTAGAGAGACACTGGGGATTGATGAGGATCAGAGCTGAGGTTTGCCATGTAGGAGTGCGTCTCAGGAAATGAGGAGATTTGGCAAAACTGAGTTGGAGAGAAGGAAGCTCAGCCACTGAGCTCTGTCTGGGACACTTATAAATATTTGCACGCAAATTGCGGAGCTTGTGCTCCTACACAGAGCTCCCATCCCTGGATGTCCACTGCCAGATTTGCTCTCATTACTGCCAAAGTCATCTTTCTGCTCTCTGTGTCACTTGCCATCTGCCCACCCAGGAAAGATGGCAGTGTCAGTGTCCTTGCATGCACTGTGTCTCCAGGTGTCTCCCAGGGGCCAGCTACACTGTGGGCACTCAGTGGGTTTGAAGTGAAGACAACTGGGAATGTGGTCCATTTCTGGCCCGGCTGCAAGCACCCCAGCCTGTATTAAACACCCTGCATACGCCTCTGAGCCCGTGGCTAGCTGTTGGCTCAGAGATGTCCCGGGGATCACTTGTCCAGCACGACTGAAAACTGCCATTCTGACTACAATGACAGCACTTTTCCCCATACATGGGCCATACATAGACGACATCCCCTCCGATGGCCCTCGCTGTCCACTCACCAGTCACTGAGGGCCTTTGGTGGCTTCCTCACCTTTCCTCCCACAGACTCCCTCTCTCTGTCTTTGTTCCCTGCTGATGGATGCCCCCTTCTATCGGGCCCAGAAGTCACTGTGCTCACAGATCTCTTGGCGCCAGCCTGTGGCCCGCCTTCCCTGGATGGGCATGTTGCAGCTGGGTGATAAGGGCATGGGCCATTTCCACTTGCCTCAAGTGTCTACTTCCTGGCTGTCCTCTCTTCTCCTCAGACCCCAGCTCAGAGGTTTACCCTTTTTAATCCCTCCCCCTTTTTTTTGCACTACTGGGGATTGAACCCAGGGCCTTGCACATGCTAGGCAAGTGCTCTTCCACTGAGTTACATCCCTAGCCCTTTTTATACTTTTTATTCAGAGACTGGATCTAAGTTGCTCAGGCTGGCCTTGATCTGTAATCCTCCTGCCTCAGCCTCCTGAGTAGCTGGAATTACTGGCATGTACCAATGTGTCCACTAAAAATTTTTGCTCTTAAACTTTTGATCTTGAAATAATTTTTGATTCACATGAAGTTATAAGAGAGATGTCAAGTAATCTTGACCCCATTTCCCGCAGAGAGAACACCTTGCAATGCTCTAGTCCAATATAGCAAACAGGATATGGAGAGACTAGTATTGCTACAAGCAAGATACAGAACAGGGGTGTCCCAAGGATCCCTCATGCTTCTCATTTCCAGCTACACCTGAGCCTCTGTCACCCTGCTACTTCCTTAGTCACATCTGGAAGGTTTCTAAGCTCCTCTTTGCTGGGGTCCCTGGCTCCCCTCCCCTGACACATCTCTTGGGCTGGGCACCCACAGCGCTCCATCTTCCCCCCCTCAAATTCAGAGGCGGCCTCACTGTGTACTAGGAGGAAGGAGCTCTGCCGGGGAGACAGTGCAGCCAGTGCCTCCCTGGGGAAACACATCAAGCGTGGTCCCTCCCCAGGCTCAGTGACCTCACTCACGGCAGGGAGTCAAACCAGCCAGTCTCTCCCCAGCCCTACCACAGAACGGCCATTGTGAGATCTCCTACTCAAACTCCTAATGCGTGTATGGTGGAGCCCAGCCCTGGCCACAGCACTGTCGGCCTGAGGAAAGTCAGACTTTCCCTGTCAGAATCCTCTTCCCTTGGTTCTGTTTTCAGGTAGCTCTCAGGGTCTATCAACCGAGCTGTTCATTTGTAACTGGGCATGTCAGGACAAAGGCCTGCATGGCCCATGCAGTGTTTAACTCAAGTACTTGTCTGTTCTTTCTTGTGCTTCAGAAGCTACTAGTGGATTGAAGCAAAGCCTCGGCTCGCTGCTCAGGGACAACACCCAGCTGCTGCATCCTCTAATGCTGCACATGCAGGAGTCAGCACCCTGGGACACTTTGATGCCTCCTTTGGACAGGGCAGGGGGCCTTGATTGAGCACATAGCTCCAAGAAGAGAAGTGTAAACAGACATCCATGTAATGAATGTAAATTTTCCCCTCTGATGTGCATATGGCTCCAGTTTGCTTTCAGCAAGGCCAGGGAGGAATCTTTCAACAGGAAGAAGATCAGAGCAGATGTCAGGGGCACCAAGCCTGCTCTGAGCTGTGTGACCCTGGTGCGACCACAGTTCCTTTTCTGCTATGGCAGAGTTTTGCACCAGGAGCTCTCTAGGTCTGGCTGACAGTTGCCTCTACTGACTGGTCTGGTGGCTGCCTAAGCAGAGGGGCACCATACCCGTCTCTTTCAGGGTATGCTTTTGAGCTCATGCAGTGCAGAAGGCATTGGATGCCTTTGCAATTCCTGGAAAGTGACAGTGGCTCTAGACTGTGCACTGGGGTGACCAGGCTCAGACCCAGTGAGCATGACCTGAGCACCCCCAGGTTTCCACACTGGACTGGCCTTTTCATGATGGCCTCAATCTTCCTCGCCTTCTGAGGAATCAGGTCCTTCTTGACCTAGCGCTGGGTTACTCTACCTCTGCACCCTCCTTCTGCCAGAGCTGTCATTCAGCCTGGCACCTCACCTTTTTTTTTTTGCAGGGGAGAGGTTGTGTGGGCGTGTTTGCACAGTCCTGGGGATTAAACCCAAGGCCAGCATGTGCTTAGCAAGTGCTCTAGCACTGGCCTCATCCCCAGCCCTTTTAATTTTATTTTCAGGGATAGGGTCTATTTTGAGACAGAATCTTTCTAAGTTGCTGAGGCTGCCCTGGAACTCTCGATCCTCCTGTCTCAGCCTCCCGAGTCATTGGGATTACAGGTGTATTCCACTGCACCTGGCCGGTCTTTCTTTCTTTATTTTTTAATTTATTATTTTTTTTTAGTTATCAGCGGACACAACATCTTTGTTTGTATGTGGTGCTGAGGATCGAACCCGGGCCGCACGCATGCCAGGCGAGCGCGCTACCGCTTGAGCCACATCCCCAGCCTTCCTTCCTTTCTTTCTTTCTTTCTCCTTTCTCTTCAGTGCTGGGGATGGAGAGCTCAGGGCCTCACACATGCTAGGCAAGCTCTATACAATTGAACTATGTCCTCAGCTCTTCCTCTTTCAATACAAAACATAAAAATGTGAATCCCAAGGTTGGCAGTATTCTCTGTCCTTAAGTGTCAAATGCCCCTTCCTCTGTGGAGCACTCCAA